ATATACTTTATCTTCCTGAAACCATGGAGCCTGGGTCACTGGGTAGAGAATATAAAGAGGCTGATTTAGTTCTGTTTTAATGAAAGGCTTTGTAAGGAGCAGAGCTGCTCAGAACTGCGGTGAATTGCTTTGTGAGTGAGCAAACTCTTCCTGGCGGAGGGACTCCGAAGACGGGACACGGTCCTGACCTGGCCGTTATGTTCCCTGCCACCCCACCAGCAGTTCAGGTCCGGAAATGGGCTCAAGGCAAGATAAGCCCATACTGACATTTGCTGAGTTTGCTTTCCACGCGTGAGAACTTGCTCCGAAAAAGCATGTAACGTAGCTAGTAATACCTCCCCTCTTAGTGGCCACTGTTATTGTGTTGCTTATTTTAATTTTTATTAGGATTTCAGCCTTTTCTCTAGTTACGCAAAATACTTTATTTAAAAAAAATTTTTTTTTAATTTGTGGGTCACTGAGGTAGTACAGCAGGTAAGGTGCTTACCTTGCATGTGGCCAATCTGGGTTTAATCCCGGTCACAATATATGGTCCCCAGAGCCCTACCAGGAGTGAGCTCTGATCACAGAGTATACTGTAAGCCCTGCCATATGTGGCCGAAAACCAAAAACATATACCAGGGGCTGGAGCAATAGCACAGCTGGTAGGGCATTTGCCTTGCACACGGCCGACCCAGGTTCGATTCCCAGCATCCCATATGGTCCCCCGAGCACCGCCAGGAGTAATTCCTGAGTACAGAGCCAGGAGTAACCCCTGTGCGTCACTGGATGTGACCCAAAAAGCAAAGCAAAGGAAAACAAAACAAAACAAAAACCAAAAACATATAACAACCCTCTCCATCCCCCACTCCCTAAACGCTCCAAATTTTATGGTCTCATCTTGTCACAGTTCTGTAACATAAGTGCTTTTGATTAAAGGCAAAACATCTTTCCCCCACTTTATTTAAGCACTGTGGTTTCCAAAACAGTTCAGGATGATTTGTTCCAGGCATTCAGTATTCCAACACCCATCCCACTGCCATAGTCACCTCACCTCCACCATTGTCTCCATTTCCCCAAGCAACACCCCTCAAGCCTACCCCCCCAATCGTGGGCCCATAATAACATTATTTTATATTGCTTGTTACCACCAAAATGGCTGATGGGATGATGGAAAAAACAATAAAAGGAAATTTGTGAAAATTGTTTCATCTCACTGTGGAGACATGAAGTCCTGGTCTGAGGGTTTCCTAAGCTCTTGCTACAAGGTGAGCCTTCTGTGTTAATGTTTCTGCTCATCCAGATTAATTGGCTGCTAGGTTACGTTCCTATCCCGTGCGGGGTGCCCCTTGTAGGATGTTTGTATGACGCAGCTGGGAGATGTCACACCATCATGAATGCATTAGTGCAGTGGCGTGTGCCAGAAAATCCAGAATTGGGCGGATTGCATGGTGGCGACTGTTGGGGTGTCAGTGCAGCTGCCTTGGTAGGACAGGAACTTGGCCCGAACCTCTATCAATGTCATGCCCGGAGGTCTCAGCTGGGACTGGGTATCCCAGAAAGTTCTCTGTCCCGTGGATCTCTTTTGCGATTTATTTACGAGTCCCGGGAACAGGGCTGATAGAGGAGTTTACGGGTTGGCAGTGGTGGCATGTGGGTGGCTGCTGGGGCTTTCTGAAGTACAGGGAGGTGGGGGGAGGTCGTCTGCCCCAACTCTGAGTAGGCTCAAAGTTTTCAGCCAAAACAAACAAATGAAAAGCCTCCAGTGCACCTGAAAATTTTTTGGCAGGTACGTATCTCTGGAGCTCCGTTGTGAGGCGGTGGAGTCTGGGGGCAGCTGTTGGGGTGTGAGTATAGCTGCTGGGGGCTTTGGTAGGGTGGGAACTTGACCCAACTGACCCCCTACTGTGATTGCTCCCGGGGTCTCAGCTGGGACTGGGTGTCATGGCTAATGGGATGATGAAAAAAAAAAATACTTCAGTGAAAGAAAATTTGTGAAAATTGTTTTATCTCACTGTGGAGACATATCGTCCTGGGCTGAGGGTTTACTAAGCTGTTGCTGCAAGATAAGCCTTCCTTGTTAATGTTTCAGCTCATCCAGATTAATTGGCTTCTAGGTTACATTCCCGTCCAAGGCGGCGTGCTCCTAGTAGGATGTTTGTATTACATGGCTGTGCCGGTGGGATGTGGGTGTAGAGGCAAAACTTGAAGCAGAAAAGTTTTAATTCAAGTTTACATCAAAAGGATGAGTTTCAGATATGGGACAAACCTGACAAAGGCTGTTTTTGCTTACCCAAATATTTTCACCAAGGATGGAAATAGGAGCCGAACACCCCATAGACCCAGTTTGTGTGTCCCGATCATCCATTTAGCAGTGCTTGCTCTCTTTTTTGGGTCACACCTGGCAATGCTCAGGGGTTACTCCTGGCTCATGCACTCAGGAATTACTCCTGGCGGTGCTCGGGGGACCATATGGGATGCTGGGAATCGAACCCAGGTCGGCTGCATGCAAGGCAAATGCCCTGCATGCTGTGCTATCGCTCCAGCCCCAATACTTGCTCTCTTCTAACTAACTCCTAAGTGTCTCCAATGTACCCCAGTGCCAACCAGCGCTGAGAAGTAGCCTCTGGCGGGGGGTGGGGGGGTGGTAGGGCTGACATTTTCCTTAAAAGTGATTCTCTTGGTAAATGCCTACAAGAACTGCGTGGCCTGCTCCTTCTGCACAGGGTGCTGGAGAGGGCTGTGTGCACAGCCTTTCAGAGATGGCGGACCAGGTCCCGAATCTGGGCAGCTCTGCGAATCAGTGGCTGTGGGCTGTGACAAGGGGAAACAATAGTTAAGCATCTCGGTGCCCTTCCCTTTGGGACAGTTGACAAATCGGAGGCATTTTCTGACTGCTCTGCTTTGGCGGAACAGCCTGGAAGGCCTCAGTTTTAAAGAGCAAAGTGATGTATCACCGAAGCAGCAGGAAGGCCCACTGAGCAGCTCGGGGGCCCAGGCATTGCCCGGAGTCTAGCTCCAGTTTTCAAACCACTCCCACCCCCTAGTTCCACGCTCGCGTTGACTCTCTGAGGCAAGTCCCTGGGCGGGCTCTTCTGTCTCCTGATAAACTTGGATCCCGGGTTGACACAGGAAGATGCCCAGTTCCTGCGTGCTCAGTCTCTTCAAGTCTCTGCTCTCTCGTGGTTTGCTTTCTCAAGTAAACCCCACAGCCCTGAGAGACTTTACCTCTTTCCTTGCTGCTTCTGTCCACCACTCTCTTGCCATATTTTACACGTATCACTGTAGCACTGTCATCCTGCTGTTCACCGACTTGCTCGAGTGGGCACCAGTTTTGTCTCCATTTGTCCCAGCCCTGAGATTTTGGCAGCCTCTCCTGACTCGTCCTTCCCAACTCTGCTGTATTGGAGGCTCATTCAGGGTCAGGGGAATGAGACCCGTTATTGTTACTGTTTTTGGCATATCAAATACGCCACAGGGCGCTTGCCAGGCTCTGCCATGCGGGCGGGATGCTCTCGGTAGCTTGCCGGGGCTCTTCGAGAAGCTTTTACACGTAAGTTCACAAAATCCTGTTTTGGAGGTGAGCTTGAAGTCGAACACTGCCTTGCTGACTCTCCCCCTAAATTGTTAAAGAATTTTTATACGTTAATGTGGCTCATGAATTGAGATCTTTTGCCTCCGTGACAGTTTGAAGTAGACGGGTGTGGACGGTATTTTGCTTGCAAGTTTCTGGCTGCCCCTCTGTGATGGATTTGCTGATGTGTTGCCTCTGAAAGGGGCTCTAATGATGAACTTATAATTGATTGCATCCATCACGGAGCGCCCGAGACCGCCCCCCCCCTCCCCTGCCCAAATTAAAAAAGATAAATGAAATAAACGGGGCTGCATGCGTAAGCTGACAAATCCGTGGGAATTTAATGAAACTCTAAATTACGGCAGCCGGCAGATAAGAGGAAAAGGTTTCTTTGTCACTGATTATAACACTAAATTAAAAAAAAAATTATCCGAGGAAGATAATAGAGGAAGCAAAGATCTGTGGCCCATGTATCAAACTAAGTTATTGAAAGATTTTTAATAAGGGTATCCATCTCATTCCCTGGTTATTGTTGATCCCTATCAATCTTGTTAGTGCAGTTGGAAAAATAGTAGACTCTGGGCCCTGTCCTGTCGTCAAGCTAACATTAGTGCTGTTGTAAGAGATTTTAGAATGAATATGACCTGGTTTCCAGGCTGCTTGGGGGCAGGGGCGGGGTAGGGGAGGGCGCTGTACCAGATTCAGATTCAGGTCATTCCCCTGAGCTCTGAAGCAGCGAGTCCTCAGGATGTGAGTAACTGTACTGGTGAGTGCGTGCTCAGCCTTCTCTGCACGAAAACCAGTGGAAGGAGAACGAAACAGTGGGTCATCATTTTGTCCTCAAAGGAGAGGTGTAAGGCAGCTAACGGGCTCTTTTCTCTGGGGGACCCTCTGTCGTTGTCTGCTGGCTGGAGTCTTGGAGTAGTAGTACTAGCTCAGCTTTTCACAGCAGCATCCAGAGTCGGACAAAGGGATCTGTTTTCTATTAACCTCGCAGGAATGCGAGTCCTAAGGGTCCTTAGCTGTGTCGCTTTTCTTAAGGAAGGAGCGTGGGTGGGGGAAATCACTAGAAATTACTAGGATTCATTGAGCCTAATCCAGACGTGCCCAGACTCTTGTAAAATTCATGCCTGCCTGTTATCTGATAAAAATTGGTCCTGATATCCAGGAAAGAAGCAAAGGGAGCAGCTTCTTCGCTTGGGCACCAAGCAAATCTACTGTAGATGGGCTATTGGAATTTGCTGTGAAGGCCGATTTTCTTGCATTTCGTGCTCGTAACTCGTTGCATATTCCCCTTGTTGTGCTCCTTTGCGCTTTGACTAATTTGTGGTGTTGGACCTCCACTCCACACGGGCTCATGCTCTGCCCCTGAGCTCTACCCCCCCGCCCTTCTCCCACCTGGTTTTGCTCTTCTGTCGGACCCGGCTGAATCTCCTGTCTTCCCCAGGACCCTGTCCACCAGCGATGATGTGGAAGACCGAGAAAATGAGAAGGGGCGCCTTGAAGAAGCCTACGAGAAGTGTGACCGGGACCTGGATGAACTGATCGTCCAGCACTACACCGAACTGACCACGGCCATCCGCACGTACCAGAGCATCACCGAGCGCATCACCAACTCGCGGAACAAGATCAAGCAGGTGATGCCTCTGCTCCGTGCGCGCGGAGCGCTGCCTGGCCCCACTCACCACGGGATCCTCGGTGGTGCTAGGGTGGGCTGTTATTTGGGGCCCCGCCTGGTCGTACTCAGGGCCTGTTCCTGGCTCTGCACTCAGGGATCTTTCCTGCCCATGCCTTGGAAACTGTCTGTGGCACCAGGTGTCAGGAATCGAACTGGGTTTGGCTTGTGTGCAAGGCCGACCCACACCCTCCCTGGTCCCTGTACGTCTGTCTGAAGGATCCCTCCTTTTCGTACTTATTTCTAGACAAATAACAGTCCTGTCTGCTACCTGACTTGAGTGTTCGTTCCTCACCAGGAATGCTTCTGGCCAGTTCAGGTTTAATTTTAGAAACTGCACCTCTGGACTTCAGGACTCAGAAGTCCTCACTGCTGGTTTTCAGATAGGTTTTTTTTTTTTTTTTAAAATTTATTGAATCACCGTGAGATAGTTAAAGGCTTTCATGTTTGGGTTACAATCACAAAGCGATCAAACACCCACCCCTCCACCAGTGCACATTCCCCACCACCAGTATCCCTGGTATACTCCCCCTTTCCCACTCTCCCCTTACCTCTATGGCAGACAATATTCCCCATAATTTCTCTCTACTTTTGGGCATTATGGTTTGCAATACAGACACTGAGAGGTTATCATGTTTGGTCCTTTATCTACTTTCTGCACACATCTCCCATCCCACCAATTCCTCTAGCCATCTTTTTCTTAGTGATCCCTTCTCTATTCCAGCTGCCTTCTCCCCTTTGCTCATGAGGCAGGCTTCCAGCTATGGAGCAATCTACCTGTCCCGTGTATCTACTATCCTTAGGTGTTAGCCTCATGTTACGTTGCTTTATACTCCACAAATGAGTTCAGTCCTTCTATGTCTGTCACTCTCTTTCTGACTCATTTCACTTACCATGATACTCTCCATGTCTATCCATTTATAAGCAAAGTTTATTACTTCATCTCTCCTGACAGGTGCATAGTATTTCACTGTGTAGATGTACTAGGGCTGGAGTGATAGCACAGCAGTAGGGCGTTTGCCTTGCACGTAGCCAACATGGCCGACCCGAGTTCGATTCCTCCGCCCCTCTCGGAGAGCCCGGCAAGCTACCAAGAGTATCTTGCCCGTCCAGCAGAGCCTGGCAAGCTACCCGTGATGTATTCAATATGCCAAACATAGTAACAACAAAGTCTCCAATGGAGATGTTACTGGGTTTGTTCAAGCAAATCGATGAACAACGGGAGGACATGATACAGATGTACTAAAGTTTCTTTAACCAGTCATCTATTCTAGGGCACTTGGGTTGTTTCCAGATTTTGGCTATTGTGAACAGTGCTGCAATGAACATATAGGTACAGATGTCATTTCTACTGTGCTTTTTTGCATCCTTGGGATATATTCCGAGAAGTGGTATTACGGGGTCATATGGAAGCTTAGTTTCTAATTTTTGAAGGACTGTCGATATTGTTTTCCAGAAAGGCTGGACTAGTGGGCATTCCCACCAACAGTGAAAGAATGTCCTTTTTTCCCCACATCCAAGCCAGCACTGGTTGCTCAGATAGTTTTTTTAGAATCAGCATTTCTTTCCCTGTCCTCCTGTGCCTTCCCAAACTTTTGTAAGTGTCTATGTTTTAGTGTTAGGTGTCAAATCCAGAACTTTCCTTTTTGGGTCACACCCAATGATGCACCGGGTTACTCCTGGCTCATGCACTCAGGAATTACTCCTGGCAGTGCTTGGGGCACCATATGGGATGCTGGGAATTGAACCTGGGTCAGCCACATGCAAGGCAAACGCCTTACCCGCTGTGCTATTGCTCCAGCCCCGAATCCAGAACTTTTCTCACCTGAAATGAATTATTTGGCAACGCCTCATTGTGCCAAATCTAACAGTTGGTGACCATGGCCCCGGTACCTCCCTGGACTGTGGACTGTATTCAGGGTTGGCAGGGCTGCCCTGTGCTGTCCCATGGGTTAGGATGGGGGAGTTCCTGCCTGGCCCTCCCCCTGCCCAGTAATAGCTGTGCTGCCTCTTTCCTTTCTGTCTTCTCCACCATACGGCTGTGTTTTGGGTAGGCACAGACATGGTTCTAAGAACACTGCCGATGGGCCAGGGAGGTGGCTTCAAAGGGCCAGGACCATGTGCTTTGCCTGTGCTCATTCCATGGTCCCCGAAGCACCACCAGATCACTCTTCCCCCGAACCCACCCCCCAAATAAACCATGCTGATGGAAGTCTCAGCTTCTGAGACTGTAGCTCCAGAATTGAGGTGCTTTCTTTTCCTTTTTTTTATTTTCCTTAAATTGTTATTAGTGAAACACCATGAGGTACAGTTGTAGACTTATAAATTTTTGTACTTGGGTTTCAGTTATACAATGATCGAATACCCGTCCCTCCACCAGTGCCCATTCTCCACCACTACCAGTCCCAGTATCCCTCCCACCCCCCCTTCCTCTCATCCCACCCTACCTCTGTGGCAGGGCATTCAGTTGGGGCGCTTTCAACCTTTCCCATGTGTTTTCTTTATATGTGAATGTGCACTAGGCATTTCACCCCCCCCCCCCCCCCCAAGGGAACACTATCACTCTTGGCCTTTCCAGCTGCCCAGTTTATCCTCTGGACTTATCCATGAAAGCGTGTAAAGCTGTGTCGGACTCATTGTTGATTTGAAGTGAACGATAGTCCTTTTTGACCTGGCACACCATGCTCAAAAGGGGTCAGCCAGTACGTGCCCATACAGAGCTGCCGCCCCCAAGGCTCTGGGTGGTCACAGGTAGGGTGAAGAACCTTTTTGCCGTTTGTGTTTTCTGATGAGTCGTCTGGGCAGAGAGGACTTGGTCCTGATCTCAAGGAAAGTAGCCCAGTGGGGCTCTCTGCCTCCCCTCCCTGTTTCTGAGTCCAAGCAGAGAACATCTCCTGCTACTGATGAACCGAGTCTTATCTTCATCACTTCACATTTGTTTTACCGGCCAAAGTCTGTTTCATGCTCCTCATTTTTAAGTGTTTGTAGAGTTTTAAACAAAAAGAAATCAATGTCCTCCTCCGCCCTTCCCCCCCCCCCCGCCCCCAGCCCCTGGTAAATTTTACATTCTATCAGACATTTGCCAAGAAAAGCAAATGTCACATAATTCTGTGTTATGAATTACTTTCGATGTTGGGAAGAGAAAGGGCTAAAGCTCTTTTCAAAAAAGCCTTTAAAAATTGATAAATGGGAGAAGAAAAATGTTGGGGGAGGGGAAAAGTGAATTTGTTTTTCGCTGGATAATTTGACAATTTTGTGTTGTGGAAGTCCATTTCTTATCACCAAGGAAACACTGATGTTTCCTCACTAATCTTTCCCTGTCATTTTTGGTTTGTAATTGCTCTTTGGCTTATATACAAAATATAGGTGTGTCTATTTTTAAAGGGAATATGGGGATGATTCAATAATCACTCGGCAGCCTTATTTCGGAGCCAAGCAAGATACGGAGTGGTGTGTGGATGTGAGTTGCAATGTTCTCCGCTCTTTGCCAAGAGAGTGTAAAGAGCAAGTCTCCGGTCCAGTTTGTGGAAGGCTCTAAGCTCCGTGCCTGGTTCTGATTTAGACACTGACCCCTAACCCTCATGGCGTTCACTTCCCTGAGGGAGGATGCAGAAAAGCCAGACACACTGGCATGCATTTAACGCGCGCCTCGGACATGTCTGTGTAGGGCTGAGTGTTGTTTCAGGCTCTGGGATTTAGGAACTGTGATCAAACACAAATCCCGGTCCTGGAGTGAGACTCGGAATTAATAAGTAAAATATGGTAAAACAGATGGTGAGAAGAGATGGGAAGAGTGATGAGGTTCAGAGGCTCCCCTCACCCATAGATCGGAGCCGGGACAGTGGGGAGTTGAAGCAGATGGGTCAGGAGAGACAAGTCGGGGTCACCTTTGAGCCGAGAGCTGGATGGAGGACATGAGGGGCAGAAAGTGCACCTGTCCGGGGGAGCGGGGGGAAGGAGGAGCAGATGGGAAAAGATTCAGAGTCAGAATCCTGGGAGGAATCTGTAGGGAGTCACTTTGGGGGCCATGGGGACTATAGCAGAAAGGAGAGTGGGGAGAGTGATGAGAGTGCTGGTGTGTGTGTGTGTGTGTGTGTGTGTGTGTGTGTGTATGTGTATGTGTGACAGAGAGAGAGATAGAGAACAGACAGAGATAGACAGAGACAGAGAGAGACAGAAACAAACAGAGACAGAGACAGAAGGGGGTGGGAGGGAGAGAGTGAGCCGCCATTGTCCATTGTAAAGTTTTGAGCAAAGGGCGGACACGGCCTGGCTACCCTTGGAGAAGCACCACTCTGGCTGCTATCTTGAGAAATAAATTGCTTTTTCGTGGGGACCAGGCAGATGAAGATGTTCATATTCATGCATTGTCACCATCTAAAGCTCAAGATCACAGAACTGTTGACACTTTCCATTTGATATTCGTTTGATATATGGACTTACATCGTAATGTTAGAATCTCTGTCCTTGGGGGAATAACAGGAGTTGACAGATGGATTGGATTCTCCTCCCGGATGGGCCAGACTTCATTGCATTAGTCACGTCCATTTGGAATTTAAAAAAAAAAAGATTTTTTCCCCCTAGCTTTGAAAAATGAAAATACCTATGTTTAGTGATTAGGTCGAGTTAATGTGGACAGAAACCAAAATGCTTGGATAACCTTGTTACTCTCAAATGCGTGATCAAATTGGCCAGAATGAGAAGTTATTGCTTTGGAAAGTGACAGGATTGTGGCATCTCCCTGGGTCCGCCATACTCACGACTATTCTGCAAGCATCAGCGAAATATGGGCGAACACGAGTGGACAGAAGTTGAGGACTTGGGTCCTTCAGGTGATGCTCAGGGTGTTTGAACCCGAGTGTCTGTTCTGTGCTGCGTTGGGTGGAGGCGATGCCATCAGATTTCTTTAAAGATCAGCATTTTAAGCCCCGTGCTTATCTCTGGAGCGCAAAGACGGAAGGA